GAGAGAATAAAATAATTTCTTCTAGCCAACATAGAGATTTCACTTCTTCACTCCATGTCTATACATTCAAGAAGAACATAGGACCAAATGTTTGGTATGACTTGCTTAGCATAAGCTGTACAACACCAGATGTCTACTGAGTCCGGACACGTAACGTAAGGACTGAAGCCTGCTAGGTGCATTCTTCTTATATAAATACTTTGTTTAATTATTATGTAGAAATTTTCTTGACACTCACAATTTATCTTCTTCCATTGTTCTTTTGTTTTTGTTTTTGTTTTTTTTGATGTTGTCCAGGCTGGAGAGTTGGTTCACTGCAACTTCTGCCTCCTGGGATCAGGCAATTCTCTTGAGTAGCAGGGATTACAGGCATGTGTCAGCATGTCCAGCTAATTTTGTATTTTTAGTAGAGATGGGGTTTCCACCATGTTGACTAGGCTGGTCTCAAACTCCTGACCTCAGGTGATCTGTCCCAAAGTGCTGAGATTACAAGCATGGGCCACCACGCCCAGCCCCATTGTTCTTAAAACAGCAGCTATCTTGGTCTTTCAATATTACCTTGTGTATAGTAAATACAATAAATATATTAAGTTTACTTCTACCTTGAGAAAAACAGCAGGCACTCCAAAAACATTAGAAATGGCAAACAATACTTGATCCTAATATCAGCAAAAATTTTAATGCAAGCTGTAGCAATATTATTAATATATAATAAGTGTTTTATTTCATTAAACAATGTAACTTTAAAAACATACCTCTCAAAAGTCTGTAGTTTCAATATCAAACTTCAGTTTTGTAATTTCTATCAAAAGCAATAGCAATAATTAGCCCAGAGGTTTTAGAAGATTATTATCTAAGTTTGTTCCATATCAGGGGAACCAGCCCCCAATATTTCAACGTAGGTTCTTTTCTATTTTCCCTAAGTGTTGGCTGGTCTGAGAAATAAAGAGAAAGAGTACAAAAGAAAGAAATTTTACAGCTGAGTCTCTGGGAGTGACATCACATGTTGGCCTGAGCTGCAAAACCAGCAAGTTTTTATTAGCGATTTTCAAAGGGGAGGGAGTGTACAAATAGGGTGTGGATCACAGAGATCACATGCTTCAAAGGC